AATGTAGTTGGAGGTTGGATGGATTGCGCTTCAACGATCATATCAAGAGGAGGTTGGCGGAATAGTGGAGTGAAGTAATGCACAATTCAAAGTTAAAGATCAAGTTCAAGCTTCATCCGCATGTGTACCAAGTTGAGCATATTGAAGATCTCATAGCTTGGGTAAATTTGTTTAGGGTTTATATAATGTGTGTTAACTCTATAAGCTCAAATATACACACACATACATATTTGTGATTTTCGTGTTTTTATGCAAAATAAGTTTTGGACTATATTTACATCATAAACAACTTTTATTATGTCCATATAAATATTCCATCAGTTTTCAAAACTTATTTTGAGTCAAAAATAAAAATCACATGTTTTTCATATATACGTATTTTAGTGCTTTTGCAGAATACAGTGTTTTTCACAAATTATAAATGCAAATTGAAAATTCTTTTTCCAACATGTTTGTATGTATGATTATAAACTTTTCCCAATATTTTACATTTTTTGGAAATTGTTTACTATTTTTAAAGAGCCTTCAAAAGTCAGATTTTGGACATGCACAGTGTCTGTGCATGTTCATAAGTCGACTTATCAGGTCTGATAAGTCGACTTATGAACTAGCTTGGAATATGCATTTATCCTCTGCTAAGTCGACTTGTTTTTAACAGTAAGTCGACTTGTAATAAGTCGACTTATAATCTCTCTTTCTGCAGCTGTTTTTCCTTCTATCAAGTCGACTTGCGTAACCTGATAAGTCGACTTATATATAGCCGTTGGCACAGTAACGGCTTGTTTCCAGCTTTGTTTATTTTAATGTTTTAAAGGGTTTTGGTTGGATTTTTGGGCTGTTTTCTTCAAGCCTATAAATACTCATGTGCATTAACTATTTCCAATCAACTAAAAGGTTTTTAACAAGAATTTTTCAAGTGTTTAAAAGTTTGCATATTCTCAAGTTTGGGTTTGGTGTTTGTTTACAAAGGAGAAAGCTTACTTGCAAATTGAAGGATTCACCCTCAATCTTCTTCATCCTCTCTTTGTGATTCATAGAGAAGTTTTCCTAACTCTATTCTCTAGCAAATGTATTTTTGATTTTCATATCATCATTTATTGCTAGTTTGTTAATTGAGTTAGAAATTGTTTATACTCATATTATCACACACACCCTATTTGAGCTTGTAGCAATTTCATACGTCATATATTGGGTTGTGGGGTGTGATTTAGTGAGTGTGAGCTTCATTGTGTTCTCACTTGTTATTTGAGAACAAATCATTGTATTTAACTTTTATTTGTGAGAATCACTTGTAATACACTTGTACACCGAGAGAAGTGTGAGGCGAGAGACGGGGTCAAATCCAATAGGAGTGGCGTCGATTGACGAACCTAGGGAGAGGTTGTAATCGAGCACTTGAGGAGGAGGACACGAGCTAGATTCCTACACTTAGTGTGTAAAGTGTAATTGCATAGTGTTTGTGTAGTGTGAGAGTTTTCGGTGATCTTGTAAACCGAGTGTGTAGAAGTTCCGGCTTCCAAACCGGATTGTGATAGTGGATATCTCCTCGAGGTGAGGAGCGGGGACGTAGGTCGTGGGGACCGAACCTCGTGAACATATCGTGTGTTTGTGTTTTGCTTAGCGTATATTCTTTTCATCCTTTTTGCTCATATCCATATCATATATCTTCTTGCAAGAACAAATTGATCAACATAACTTATTAATTAATTTTTATTTAGCATTTAATCGGATTAGATTAGCATAAGACCCTAATCACCCCCCTCTAGGGTCTAACACTTGATGACTTGCATTTGGAGTACAATCAAGGATAACTGAAAAATATTTTGCTTCTTTTATTTTTTTAATGATCATTTTTTTAATTTGCTTCTTTTATTTTTTTAATGATCATTTTTTTAATTTCAGAAGCTAGCAACTCTATTAGTTCATTTTGCATTTTATGACTAAGATAATGATTTTGAATTTCACCTTCTTGAATATGTTTAACATGTTCTTGCATTATGGGATCAAATTCCGCTATCATTTCAACTAAGCTTAAAAGTTTCCATTATTTTTTTCGTATATCTTTTGTTTTGTTCCTCGAAATGCAAGATTATTTTTTGAGAGATGTTTTACTATAGCAATAAGTCTTAGCAAAACTTTTTTCCAGTGTTCTTTTTCTTTATTAATTTGTTCTTGAATGTTTTTATCTATTGTCCTATTTTTTTGTAATCTTACTTCTATATAAATCTACCCATTTACACATATTAGTGATATGTTCATGACTTGTTTCATGATTTTTAATTTTATATCCAAGATTTTTCCAATCCCTAGTACCTTCGCTAACTAACTGACTTGTATTAGATTTTAAAGTAAATAATTTGCAATAAAAACAATAAACTCTATCTAAATCTTTTGAGTAAACTAACCACATTCTTTCATGTTTTTCTCCATTTGATAATTTTTAATGTAATATGATGTAGAAAAGTGTCTATTATTTTCATCTTTATGAAAATCTACTTCTTCATGTTTAATTGGACATGTTTCAACTATTAGATCTATAAAATTTTGATAAATACATTTCCATTGTCCAAGATCATAAATATTGATAAAATTGAATTCGATATCTCATTCATCTCTAAATTATTTTCTTGGCCCTCATCCTCATGTGAATCTTCTTTATATTCTTCATTAAAATTTGGAGTACTAGCTTTTTCTCCTTGAATATTATTATCGTTAATATCATTATTTTGTCCTAAATTCTTAGCATATTATTCTAATTCATTCTCAAGTAAAAAATCTAAAGGTTCATCTATTCTTTCTTCTTCTGTTGAAGTTGATGTAACATTATCTTTATTACTAAAAACAAATTTATCAAGAGCTCCTTGTTGAGATCGAATTAATTTTTCAACTCTTTTTCTTTTTTTAAAATTTTTGACAACCACTTTCATATTTTTATTAGGCATTCTTTCAAAATATAAAATAGCAAATAAAAAGCTTTCAATGTATATCTAATATCTACTAATCAAGAGCCTACAATATAGGGCAACCACTTTCAAAATTTAATACTAGCTTTTTCCTCCTAGTATTAAATTGGCTAGAGCAACTGAAATTGGAGTTAGATTATGTATTCTCAAGCTCTTGGTCAAGGTCAAGCTCAAGTATGAGTACGGAAGAAGCAAACTAATGGTTCAATGGGACGGAAAACCCTCATTTAAACAAATTAACCACATTATAGCCAAATCAAGATTTTGAACCCATTAAATAGCACTATGCACAAAGAGAATTTCTGCAAAATTTTGAAGAGTCATCCCCTCCCTCACATGAATAAAGAAAAAAGAGGGAAAACAAAGTTCTTTTTTTAGGTTGGTTGTGTTTGTTTTTTCTCTCTCTCCTTTCAGTTACTCTGCCATAATGTTGTATGTGTGGAGTTATGTGACTCAATTTGGCAAGAATTTTGGCTCCGCTCAAAATATAGGCTAACTTGTTGCTGTAATCTATGTAATATACGAAATTGTCGCCGAAATAAGGAAATATAACAATGTGTCATTAAGGGTCAACAAAATATACTAATCTGTTAATTTTGCCAATACAAATAGTATAGTTACATACTGTATATGCATAGCCACATAGCATAGGGCGTATAGCTACACGCCTCTGTAGCCGTTCACTTTGGAGTCTATATGTTGAATTTAAAAAGGAAAAATTCCATGGGGACCCCAAATCCATGGGACCAGGAGGGGACAGGTGAGCTGTCACCTCCTGGTTGCATGATCTACTGTTCATGAACAGTAGATCATGCAACCAGGAGGTGACAGCTCACCTGTCCCCTCCTGGTCCCATGGATTTGGGGTCCCCATGGAATTTTTCCTTTTTAAATTCAACATATAGACTCCAAAGTGAACGGCTACAGAGGCGTGTAGCTATACGCCCTATGCTATGTGGCTATGCATATACAGTATGTAACTATACTATTTGTATTGGCAAAATTAACAGATTAGTATATTTTGTTGACCCTTAATGACACATTGTTATATTTCCTTATTTCGGCGACAATTTCGTATATTACATAGATTACAGCAACAAGTTAGCCTATATTTTGAGCGGAGCCAAAATTCTTGCCAAATTGAGTCACATAACTCCACACATACAACATTATGGCAGAGTAACTGAAAGGAGAGAGAGAAAAAACAAACACAACCAACCTAAAAAAAGAACTTTGTTTTCCCTCTTTTTTCTTTATTCATGTGAGGGAGGGGATGACTCTTCAAAATTTTGCAGAAATTCTCTTTGTGCATAGTGCTATTTAATGGGTTCAAAATCTTGATTTGGCTATAATGTGGTTAATTTGTTTAAATGAGGGTTTTCCGTCCCATTGAACCATTAGTTTGCTTCTTCCGTACTCATACTTGAGCTTGACCTTGACCAAGAGCTTGAGAATACATAATCTAACTCCAATTTCAGTTGCTCTAGCCAATTTAATACTAGGAGGAAAAAGCTAGTATTAAATTTTGAAAGTGGTTGCCCTATATTGTAGGCTCTTGATTAGTAGATATTAGATATACATTGAAAGCTTTTTATTTGCTATTTTATATTTTGAAAGAATGCCTAATAAAAATATGAAAGTGGTTGTCAAAAATTTTAAAAAAAGTGCATAGCCACATAGCATAGGGCGTATAGCTACACGCCTCTGTAGCCGTTCACTTTGGAGTCTATATGTTGAATTTAAAAAGGAAAAATTCCATGGGGACCCCAAATCCATGGGACCAGGAGGGGACAGGTGAGCTGTCACCTCCTGGTTGCATGATCTACTGTTCATGAACAGTAGATCATGCAACCAGGAGGTGACAGCTCACCTTTCCCCTCCTGGTCCTATGGATTAGGGTCCTGTAGAACAACCCTTTAAAAAGTTTTAACTACGTATTTTGGGTTACAAGAACGCATAGAACTACGAGGGTTTCGACGTAAGTGGATATAAACTCTGGGGTTAATAAGCAAAAAAACCCTAAAAACATCTAATTCTCGATCGGGGGGAATCTTTTCCTTGTTAGCCAGGGAATTCCCCACCTCTGTTTCCCACAATTGATGACGAAAATTGAGCTAAAAAAAAATTGGATTAAAGCCTCAAATTGCAGATTCGACGAAATTGAGTTCCAAATCCATTCAGGTGCCCTAGATTTCTTTTCCTCAGCCTACGACCATCACGCGCCCTAGATCTCGAGAGGGTTAGCTTCTCTCTGAAACCCTAAACCCTCACCTGTAATTTTTCCTATTATTTTCTTATTCTAGTGTTAAAATTTCCTTTCCCCCCTTTGTTTTGTTTTGCAGCAAGAAGATTCGATTCAGCTTCTAGGTTAGGGTTCTTTCTCACACAAATATTAACTTGGTTGCAGCAAATTGTTGTAGAGCATCCCAAAAAAAAAAAAGAGGAAAAAAGAAAATAAGAACATAAAAAAGCAATAATACCTCATAAAAAGAAATCTTTCCAATCCATTTGTTGCTTTTGCATCAACGGAACACAAATTTGTGGCATAATACATTTTCTATAAATAAAACTACAGAAACATTACAGCTTAAACGTTTCATTCGATTTGTTTATGTCAAACCATAGACTCAGTAAATCTACGGTAAATCAACATGGAAATTACTTGAGCAAAAGACATGGGAAAGAATGTAGAATTCCTTATTCCATTGTAGTTTCTTTAAATTATAGCTAATAGAAAGGGCTACAAATCAAGGAGAAACATCCAACCACAAAACAAAATTTATTGTGGGTCTATAAATGACAACAAATTCTATTGCTTTACCAATCCAACACTGTATAGTGCATACTCAATACCTAATCCCCCCCAACCAAAAGGATTTTTTTTTTTGGAATAGACCAGCTTTGACATTTTATCAGTAAAACATACCAAAGTAATATGTAATTAGCAAACTAGATTAACTTCCAGCCACATCAGCACAACTAGCTGAAAGTTGGTCTATTTTGCTAGTAAAATATTTTTTGCTCTATTTCGCTTATCAAGTTAGCTGAAAGTTGGTGTATTTCAAAATTTTGTCCATAATAAATTAATTTCATTTTTGTTGCTAAATAAGTTCAATGGAAGAAATATGGCAGGGTAAATTTGTAAAGGGAAACTTTGTCGTTTAATTTGGTGTATGTTATTTTGTTGAATGTATTATGTGGGGAAAAGGAATTTCACTAGGATCAAATTATTTGACAAGTAACATGTGCATGCATACTCTTTGACACCAATTTCGGACTACATGTGGTTTAATATTTAACACCACATGGGTATTTTAATATATATACCCTCCATCATACGTATTTTTAAAATTGCCTCTCAAATCAATGTATCAATCTTTACCCCTCAAATTGTGGTTGTCCTTGAATTTTACCCCTCATTTTAACAGTTAGGAAATAAAATGGAATATTTTGTTAAAAGTTTTCAAAAATGTCTAATTTATCCTTAGGTTAATTATTAAAAACTAAAAATAATTAAGTGTATAATATTAAGTATCTGTCTCTCTCTGTTTAAACTTTTCCATCCTTTCTTCCACCATCTTACTCGACTGCTCTCTCTGATTATCAGTGGACATCTAGCCCAGCTCTATGTCTTCTCTCCTTGCCGTGTCTACCCTTTTCCTTCGCTAATTCTAGCAACAACTAAAACAATGAAGCGTACAATATTAAGATATTGGAGAAAATTGGAACTTAGCTTTTTTGTATGCCGAGGGAAGTTGAGATGGGGAGAACTTGCAATGGATGAAAGGAACAAGGAAGAATGTTGTCAGGGAGGGTTCTTCTTTGGGAGAACAAGGTTGCAGGAGATATGTATATTGTTAACATGACTCGATAATAATCAGAGAGGATGCCATATAGTAGAGATTGGTTGTTGCTAGAATCTATTGCATCAAAAGAACTTGAGAAAATATTTGATTTCTTTATGTCTGTATTCGTATAGCACATTCCATCTCCGTTTAGGCGCCATGTCCAATTTTGCTATAATATTTTCCGTCTAAATTATAAAGACTTCTCTAATTTATGAACTCCACAAAGAAGGGAAACAAGATTCTCCGTTCTTATATTTAGGCAGGGGTAAAAAGTAGCTCAATGTACCTGACATGTACCCATACTGAAACTCCATGGAAACTTCTCGCACACATTTTTTCAGACATGTACTTAACTATATAATATATGGTTTAATTTAAACACCTTACACTTGTCATACACTTCTTGGACATATATCCCACAATTTATATCTATTTCTTGAAACTCGTTAGACATAGATTGGGCTTGTTTTAGTCCATATCCAAGTTCGAAATTATCATTTACAATGATCATTTGAGTGGCTACTTCGAAAACAGCTAATATCCAATTTATAATAATCAACATAGTAAAAGAAACTTGAAAATTTGATATGAATTTTAATTCTAATTAATTAATTGAGAAACAATAATTATTTCATGCTAATTATTAATTTTATCCGTGTCCCCGTACCCTACAGTTTACTAATTTTCTGTCCCCTGTACCCGCACTCATATCTGTATTCGTACTTGTTTCACTACAACTTAGAGGTAATTGTATTCTAAAATTGATACAACTTTAATGCTAACTAAGACGGGGGTAGTATTGAGGGATGATCAAAATTTGAGGGGTAAAATTGATAATACATTGATTAGAGTTTTTATTTTTTAAAACGCATTTGATTTGGAGGGCAATATTGAAAAAAAACCTAATAGAGATAAGAAAAATCTGAATCAATCTTCTCAAAACTCACAGAACTTCGGGTATCTCCCTCTTCAGAACCGCAGCCATGACTTCTTCCTCCAAAGCCTCTGATTCTTCTTCGAGCCGATCAAAGGTTAGATTTTGCAACTGCCCCTCAAATTTTCTTTTCCTTTTTAAAGACTCATCTCAAATATCTGCCCCTCTCTAACTCTTTTACCATTCTCAGAGGCTCGAAGATGATCAAGAGAAGGAGAAGATATCCCGTATATTATTCACCATTTCCCGATTAAAAAAGCAAATACAGGCCTCCCGGTCAATCTCAATTAAAGTAAAATTTTAAACCCTACCTCCCCTTTAGATCTCTCAAAGGCTCAACTGCTAACCAATCCACAATGGCTTCCTCTATAGGAAAAACTTGAAGAAAACAAGAGGAATCTAAAGGGTCATACTGCCCGGCTCTTTGATTGGGCATCAAAAAGATTGGTGGTGGAGAAAGAGAAGGAGAATTATCTCTCCTTTAGATTGGCGAGTCCTCTTTGTAAGATTAATGGATGGGACTGTTCTAAAGAGTTTGGAGAGATGGAGATCTTCAATTGTCAGGAGGAGATGTTGTCATCGGCGGCTTCATTGGTGTATGGGAACAATGGAGGCGGGAGGAGTGTTGTTAAACTTGTCAAGCTTCCTTATGTGGAGAAGATTTCACCTTATACCACATGGATTTTCCTGGATAAGTGAGTTCAGTCTGTTAATCTTTATGCTGAAAATAAGGTTGGAACTTTATGTTTGTAGAACTTTTTCAGTTACGACAGATGCATTGTAGGAGGAACTTCTAATTGCTTGCTTACTAGCAGCTAATGAAGCATGTCAATTTCCATGGAATTTTTTTGATCCCCGAACAAGTAAAGTTTTTGATCGATTAGGGCAATACGATCAACATGCACATTTTTAAACATAACCTCAAAATAGACAGACAAATAAGCGAATTACATCTATCTATTTATCTATTTATACAGCCTGGACTTTGTTTATATTGATGGGTATGTTCTAATAAAATGGAGTGTCCACAGTTGTAGTTGTTTTTTCATTACTGATGCTCAAGGGATAATTTTCATTACTGATTTTTCACTAGGAAACTGGTGACTTCACTTCAAGAGATTAAGCCAAGCTTATACATTGTTTTCTATGTGCAATTCTTTGTTCATCAAATTTCATAGTTTTTGCTTACAACAATTTCTATTTTAACGCATCTTCCCTTCTCTCTTAAATTTATCCTCAACCTCAACATACACATCACAGAAATCAAAGAATGGTTGAGGATCAGTCAGTTGTTGGGAGGAGGAGAATTTACTACGATCCAAATGGCAGTGAAACACTAATATGTAGTGATAGTGACGAAGAGATTGCTGAACCAGAGGAAGAAAAGCATGAATTTTCCGAAGGTGAAGATCTGATTTTGTGGTAAGTACACTTTTAGTCATTCACTATATTTTTTCCCTGAATGAAAACCAGTGATAATGAAAATCTTCTAGCAAATGAAGCAATGGATAGGCATTTTTGACAGTGAATTGAAAATTATATATTGACTAATCTTGTCTTAAGTGGGTCCTTTTGGTTAAATTCTTATATCGTCTGGCGATGAATAATGATAATTGGAGGCAATTGTTGCTAAAGAATCTTATAGCGATCTTATGTTGAATTTTAAATGTTGTTTTTCGTGATACAGTGCAGCCTGCTTTCCTCTTCATGTATATAGAGTTTTTTTGGCTTTAAAGCTTGTAATAACTTCATAAGGAAAAAAGTTACATTAGAAGTTGAAAACATGGCATAGTAAGAACATTTAATCATTCATGTATTTTTTTCTTCTATCGTTGTAGAACTTGGTAATTCATCACCCTACTACATTAGAAGTACCAGAATTTTATTCATTCTATTATTGAAATCAAATTTACTGAGCTAATTGCAACATCTTGCATTTGTCATGTTATATAATTGTTCATGTGATAGTTAAATGTCATTTGCTTTTACTCCTATCTTATTCCACTAATTTTCCTTATTGATTCTGGATTTCAATGGTTCATCATTCATTTATGTATTTGTGTGTCTATGTGTACATATAGATGAAAAAGTATTTCATTTGGTAATAAGCATATATGCTTGTATGTAGGTCAGTGGTTGAGTTAGAGATCTGTTTAGGGGATTCAAAAATTTTATGATAAAAACTATGAGACATCTAAACTTCACTAATAAAATAAGAAAATAAATTTTTTTAAAGAAATAACATCATAATTAATTGTGCAAGGTCAAAGGTAATAGAAAAGTATGGACATAAAAAAAATGTCTATTCTAACTTTTCTTTTCTTAACTCAATATATCAAGAATTAAATAAGGAAAAAGGTTAACTTATTTCTTTTGACAATAGCACTACGAAATAAGAACTCACTAATAATTAAAGCATACTTGATAATTTTGATAACATGTATGATAAATTATTCAAATGTCTAACTACGAACAATATGTGAAGGAGATTAGAGAAAAAAGGATGCTTACACGATCTATAGGTTCAGGAAAGAGCAAAGATGAAGGTTTTTTTCTCTTGTTCTCCACACTTCCCTTTCCCCCATTTCACGTTTTCTTTGTTCATTTATTTTCTTCCTATTTTCAGCTCTTTAATATAACTATTCATATAGTTGGTTTGGTGAATCCACCAGGATAAATACAGGTTGCACTCATTTACTTTCAAAATAGAATAAAAATATGATTGTAGGTTTGTATACCCCAGTTATTTCAATGGGCCTGTGAATAGTTATTAGGTTGATAGTTTGTACTAATGGATGAACAAGAAATCTTAGTGACCAGTTTATTAAGTATTAACTGCAAAGAAGTAGATAACAGATATAGGACCATGTCAAAGATTAAAAACTAACAGACTTCTCGTCCTATAATTGAAGGGGAAAAAAAGCTTATAGTTAGTGGTTGCCATGCATATGAGAAGAGTCAAATCCTTTTGGCGTTATTCTATATATCGGGCTTGCTAATTGCAGGGCGAATCAGTTGATACCTATTTGCCCCTTCTTTCACCAGTAATATGATAAACATATTAATCTTGTTGGTTCTGTATAAGTGTCTAATAGGTCCAGATTTCTATTTGTTGAAGTCTGCAATTGCCAAATCGCTATGGATCTAGATGGTTCGATCAGGAGGTGAATAGAACTGAAGAAGTTTATAATGCATACTGGTGCTGGAAGATGGTCTCTATGACATTTTTTATCTTTTGTAGGTGATAAAATGAGCAGAATTTATGAAACAGGAAATATCCAGAATAATTTTTAGTACAAGTTTGGAGTTTTCTTTTTCATTTTAACCAGGAGAGGAAACAGCAGTATAAACTTGTTTGAGAAGAATCAAAATTGAGTAGAATTGATGATACGACTATTGTATCTCTCTTCTTATTATATTATTTTTTTACACCTTCGTCCTTAAACATCTAATATATCCCTTGAAATTTTCCTTCAAATTGGAGCATATATGTCTTTTCCTGTTCAACTTGTTACAAATAAACTGAACCCATGGTGTTTCCAAGACTTGGTCAGCAAACTTGCTAACTGATTAGAAGATGACATCTGTCCGGTTTGGAGGATCTTTTCTTCTTTATCTTCATTTGTTGATCATTGAGCTAATGCTCTTGCAAGTGGCAACTGCCTGTGACAAATTTTAGTAATTTTACTAAAATTTGTATTTGAATATTGATGTTGTAATGATGACCTTCTTCTTCTTCTTCTTCTTCTTCTTCTTCTTGTTGTTGTCATCCAAAATTGGGAAATTCTTCTTCTTCTTGTCATCCAAAATTGGGAAATAGTTTTAATTAAACCTGATCAATATTGCAGGGAGACCCTTCAGGAGCATGGGTTGAGTTCAGAAGTTCTAGATATTTTAAGTCAGTCTGTTGAAGCTACATATTCTGAAATTGAGGTATTTAAATCAACATGGATGTCTATGAGTACTGAATTTTAATATCTATATTTCTTCAATTTGAAGATGCTATTGTTTTAATATCTAAAGTTTTATATATTCCTAATTTGCAGGGGAGATATGAAATGCTCATGAACAAGTATCAGCAAAAGGATGAGAACAATTCAGAAGCTTCTGGCAGTTTGATGCCTGAGGGTAGAACATTTTTTGATAAGACACTCAGTGCAGCTTTAGATTCCTTTGATAACCTCTTTTGCCGACGTTGCTTGGTACATTCTATCATTCTTGGTGTTCTTTTACTTACATTAAGATGCCTCTACTGCTTTATCTCTGGTATTAATTATTAACAGGTCTTTGACTGTCGCCTTCATGGTTGTTCCCAAAGCCTGATTATCCCAGTGAGTCTGTATTTTTAGGGACTTTTTATTTTTAAGGGATGAGAATTCTTTACCAGTTTAATAGAAGCTTTTTTACATGACAGACTGAAAAGCAGTCTTATGTATTCGAGCTTGAAGAAAACAGGAACCCGTGTGGTGACCATTGCTACCTCAAGGTACAATTCTTCATGCTCAGTTATTAACTCTTAAGAGTAAAAAGAGAGAGAAGAATCTCATGGTTAGAAGCACATCTCTAATTATTAACTTCAGAGGCATTCTTATTGGTAGTCAATTTTGAATCTTGTTAACTTTATTTTAATAATAAGGGGAAAAGGCTTCCACCCCATAACAATATGAATCTAAGTGTTGCCCTCCCAGTTGACTAGTCAGGAATAAAAACTCTCTATTTAGAGCTTCCATCCACCCCCTTTATGCATCACTTAAAAATTCCGGTACTATCCTTGTCTTCTGTCTATTCTCTCTTTTTTCTCTCATCTCTCCCACCAACCCATCCATGCATTTCCCACCCTTCAATCCCATCTCCCTCCTGTATATTCCTCTCACTCACCCACCTGCCACTTGTGGCATCCTACCCCACCTCCCTTCCTCCCTCTCACCCGACCCAAAATATGAAGTTTATACTTTTTATAGTTATCAGCATCTCTTCTCTTTATTATCTATCTTTAATCTAAAGTTTCTATCTTATAGGTTATAACCTACAGTTCTCACTTATTGCCTACCTTTTACCAGGAAAGACTTCACTTCACCTTTTACCAAGAAAGACTATCTTTCTCTTGTTGACTACCTTTTATTTTTCTTAGCTACCTTTTAAAGAGAAATACTAGTTTTCTCTCTTGTTGACTGTTTTTCGTGTTTTTGTTAGCTTTTTTTTAATACTTCGTTTGCTACCTTTTGACAAAAAGTACTTTTTTCCTCTCTTGTTGGTTACCTTTTACTTTTATCAGCTTTTGTTTTCTTTTAGTCACTATATTTTAACAAGGTAGCCAAAAAAAAGCAAAATGTAGCTGAAAAGGTGGAAAGGTAGAAACGAAAAAGAAAGTAGATAATAAGTGCTAAATGCAGAAACTAATGGAAAAGACAATTATAAACTTCTGCATTTTTTTTCACATGAAAATAGAGAGATTAGAAGAATGGCTTAGGTTGGGAGTGGGGTGGGCTATCAGGAATGCAGGAGTTGGAGAGATAGGAGAGGAGAGAAGGGTTTGGGTTGGTGTGTTGGGTGGGTGTGGGAGGGGGTCGGACTGAGCTTT